ATAACTTCAAGATGGATCTGCAGCAGCAAAACACATTCACATCACCTAACACTTTCTTTAGTTTAAACAACTCATAGGATCACTCTTTAGGCTTTTTGTACAACTCTGTTGTACAATTATAAGTCCTAACGTTTTAGGATTCCGAGGTTACCGCACGGTATGGTGTAAATCCTCCTGTCCTTTAGGTTATTTGCACAGTCTGACGTTGTGCAAACATAAGTCCTAAGTCTTAAATAATTTGCAGGATTGAAATATCAAATAAACATCATTTCAAAGACATAAAGCCGAACAATATGATAGTTGGGAGTTCACCGGGGTTTTTCCTAGATCTGTGATATCCCCTACTTTTCTTTTATTTGAATTCCTAAAATAATTGTTCCTATTTTGAGCCATTCCCATTTGACTTTCTTATGTCCAATCGTGAAAACCTAAACTTTGAAATCTTGAAAGCAAAACCACCTGATCTTAATCGAGAGTTATCTTAAGTGATTTCGATCATTTAAGATGTAATTAACTATAGGGGCTTGCCGCTATAGGGAAGCAGGAACCCAGATAAAATAAACCCTATCTAATTGTTATGTTAGATAGGGGAACTTGTTGGCCTTTTTATAAAAATATTTCGCAGACCAAACGGATGACACAAATTGTTTAGTCTATATGATTAAATTCATATTACAGGTAATATATTTATTCTTCGGGATAAGTGTATTGCTTGTAGTATTGTATTAAATCATCTAAACTATTTGAAAATGTGAGACTCGTTTGGTCTCACTTATTTTAAAAATTAAAAAACGTTACTTCTTTAAAAAAAATTATATTTATATTTAAATTATTTTCAAAATCACAAAATCATCATCTTTTCAAACTACGAAAGTGAAGTTGAAAAAAAAAACGGCCGACAGGCATCTACGTAGACACCGCCCAATTCTTATATATTTACATATGTATCATCTAAACTCTCATATTTACATACAAATCACTCAAATCTTTAACATTATGTCAAAAATACCATTATTACCAACTTTTAAACGTGAAATACACCTTTTTAGGAATAGGTGTTAACACCAGCATGTTATAAATGTAAATATTAAACTTTAGGTGTTTGATATGTAAATACATAAGTATTGTATGGTATCTATGTAAATTTCCTTTTGCTTTCAGAAGTTCAGTGCTGGCTTTTGATGTACTTATGAAGTTTAAGCTTCCAATCTATAGTTTAAGAGATGTTAGCATGATTTAGGCTTCATAAATGAATAAATAGTGTAATTTCAATCTTAGTTGTTTAGGCTTTCTCAGTTGAGTAAGATTTATATAATAGGTTAGCAAATTTGCCCCAACGAGGGATGTAATTGAGTCGAGCCGACGCATGAATCAATTTAGGCTTGACTCGATAAATGGCTTTTGAGCCAATTTCAATGAGTTATTTAATCAACCTCAAACTAATCTTAAACTTAATTTCCCAACTCATTAGCTGACTCATTTACAAATATTATTATAAAATACATTTAAAGTATATTAGAATTGGAGTTCTGAGTACAAATTTATTTAAATTTCTTCATCTTCAACTGATTTCTCATCATTCCTCTCTTAAATTTTCATAATGTTTAGGAAGACTTACATACAGCTCTCAATTCCTACGTATTTGCATATCTAAGATGTAACTTCAAATTTTACATATAACCACTTTTTCTATGCATAAAAAGGTGTATTTCACTTTTTTAAAAGTAAAAAAAAGTGGTATTTTGATGTGATATGAATTATATGGATGATATAAATGTAAAAAGCAAAGTTTAGTTGTTAGAAATGTGAATACGTAGGAATTGGGTGCTATGTATTTAAATGTCTCGTATTTTTATCATTTTATTACAACAACGCACTTTCTTTTATAATAAATAAGCCTGTTCAAACCTTATCAAACTTAGAGTTGAGCTCGGGTTCTAGCTCGAACTCGATAATCTAGTAGAGCTTAAGCTGGGAGTCGCTTGGAGTTCGAATCAACTCATTTACGTCCCTACTCCCAACTGCCATCTCATTCTTCGTTGTCGGGAGCTATAAGTATTTTTCCACTCTTTATAGGGATTATTATTATTATAGGCTTATTTTGACTAATGTAAACTAATACAAAGTTATAACTATGGAAAAGCAATTGAAGTAACATCAAAACTCTAAATGTAAGTTAGTTCGGCTTAGCACTCATTCTGTATTTTTCATGAGTATAGATTTAAAAATGGAGCATTTACATACACCTCACACAATTCTAATTTATTTACATATCCCACACCTAAACTTTCATATTTACATGCATAGTATTTTGGTGAAAATGTGCATTTCACTCTTAGCTAAAGGGTAATAGTGTTTTTTCTTATGTGATATTAAATATTTGAGTGCTATGTGTGTAAACATGAAAGTTTAAGTTTGAGAAAGTTTAAGTTTGAGATCTGTAAATACATTAGAATTGTGTGCTATGTATCTAAAAGCCCCATTTCAAAATTTGTATAGAATATATTAGGCTTAGAAAAAGGAACTTTTACATACATACAACTCAATTCTTATGTATTTACATATCTAACCATCAAACTTCAATTTGACATATGCCAACTGACTGTTGACTGGAGCTATAAAGTTCCTTTTCTTTTGCTTAAGTGGGTTTATGGAAAGGAAGATTTACATAGATACCACACAATTCCTAAGTATTTACATATTTAACACCTAAATTTTAATCTTTACATGCCACCTTTTCTATATATGAGAAGATGTATTTCACTTTTTAAAAGTTAAAATGATAGCATTTTTTTATGCGGTATAGAAGATTTGGGTTGCGTAAATATAACAAGTTTAGGTGTTAGAAATGTAAATATATTGGATTGGCTGGTATTTATGTAAATGCCCCTTTTGGAAAATGAATACTAACAATTTCTGTTCTAAGCTGGCCATCTCAATTTGCAGGTTGATGGAGGATCATACAAATTAATTCTAAAGAAGAACAAAGCTCACGACATGGACGTGAACTCTGTGCAGTGGAATCCAAAGGTAATTAAAATAGAAGGAAGATATATATATATACCTCACAATTCTTATATATTTACATATCTAGCACCTAAAATTTGATATTTACCTTGATACCACTTTATCTATACATGAAAATGCGTATTCAACTTTTTAAAAGGTAGTGATATTTTTTTATGTACTGTAAATTATATGAGCGTTATAAGTGTAAAAATCAAAATTTAAGTTATTGATATGTAAATTCATAAGAATTGTTTGATATGTATGCAAATGTCCCTAACTAGAAATCTCAAGCTCCATTAATGAAGGCTACATTTCATCAGAGAAGCTTCGTCGTTGATCATATGTCGAGCTCACTCTATCTTGGTTTAAAATTTCTCAGGAACCTGAAATTCTGGCTTCGGCAAGCGACGACGGCTCGATAAAGCTATGGAGACTAACACAAGTTCCCTGAGAAAATGGTAACTGATTTCCTTTTTATCTTTCTTGCTGCAGTGTTGCGCATTTATAGTTCTCTTTTGGCCTATTTATAAGTTTTTGAAAGATACACATACATACCACATCAATTTTTACGTGCGGATCATCTTACCTATGAATGAAAATGTGTATTCACGTTTTAAATGTTAAAATGACTGTATTTTTGATGTGTTATGAAAGATTTGGGTGTTTTAAATGTCAAATTTTAAATTTAGGTTATAATAAACTCATAAGAATTGGGTGGTTTGAATAAATGCTCCCATGTTTTCTCATGTAGCTGTTTTTTACTCATTTCCTTGGAAAAAAGATTTCGAAATGGATGATCTGATTATTTTAATGGACTTTGTAAGAAAATGTCCATCAGAAGTACAACATTAGAGGACACATGACAAAATTTGATAAATTTTGACGACTTAATACATACCTTAATTTTTGCAACCCTTAAATTTTAGTTAAGTTAATTTTATAAAATTTTATACGTCGGATCGAGCAATTCAATATAAAGAACTATATATTAATTTTGAATGATTTGGGTGATATAAAATGTTGAAGTTATAAGTGTAATTAATTTAATTAAAACCTAATTAATTCTTAATCTCCTGCATGTTTACTGTAGCCCACCGACTTACTCCCCTTTTAATTCATTCAATCGGTAGGTTAGGGTAGGCGAGCTTCGCTTGGAAAAAATATTACATCAGGATTTAGCATACACAACGACATGCAGACTCCAATCTCGAACTGACACGTGGAAGGTTGGGGCTCACCTACATAAAAATAGAAAAAAAAAACGTGTGACTCGACCCAATCGATGCATTACTTACCCTTGTCAATGCATTGTGGGATTATTCCATCGCGTTATGTATATTCCTCTGCGTTACAGAGCCTTGCCTATGTGTTATAAGAAAATATTTTCCGCATTATTTTTTCTTGCTACCGTGTTATAGGAATATTCACTCACGTTATTCTGAATATTTTTCGCGTTATTTGTGTGTTATTGGTGTGTTATTAAGGTGATTTTGAGATGTTATTGTTCTTTAAACAACAATGCAAACTCAAAATCATCTTCATAACAAATAAATAACACATTAGTATAAGTTTACATCTTGTTATTGGATTGTATCATCTCACTAACACATCAATAACACATGAATAACACACCAATAACACATTAAAAACAGTGACTGAGGTGATTTTGAGATGTTATTATTCTTGAAACAACAATATAAACTCAAAATCACATCCATAACACATGAATATTACATCAGTAGAAATTTCATCTTGTCATTGGATTGTATCACCTCAAAAACACATCAATAATACATAAATAACACATCAATAACATATTAAAAATAGTGATTGAGGTGATTTTGAGATGTTATTATTTTTTAAACAACAATACTAACTCAAAATCAGTTTCATAACACATTAATAACATATCAACAAAAGTTTTTATCTTGTCATTTGGTTGAATCATCTCAATAACACAACAATAACACATGAATAACGCGAAAAATATTCAGAATAACGCGTGGAATATTCCGAGGCGAATAGAATATTCCTATAACGCATTGGTCGGGATGGGTCGCGCGTTTTCGTTCCTTTTTTCATTTTTTATGTAGGTGGGCCCCGACCTTCAACGTGTTGGCTCGAGATTGGAATCCGCATGCAGCTCTGCATGCAGAGTCTTAATGTAATCTTTTTTCTGCATTCTTTCCCTCGCTCTATTCCTCTCTCGTGAATTCTCTTATGTGTGAAGGAGTTCATTTGACCCCTTGTAGAAAGGTTGCAACCCTTGCTACGGTACAGGGGGTGAGCAGCCGTGGGTTGCAGGCGAACCGAGCGGCCTCCTAGATGCTACAGTTCGCAATTTGTGGTTATGGGGTAAAATCTAAGGGTACAAATTTCTCTCTCTCGCCATTCTAAGTTTTCATTTCTTTCCTCACTCTTAGATTTTGACCTTTGCCTCATTTTTCGTGCATTTTTCGTTCCTGGTAACGTTTGAAGGCGCCTATCTTGTGCTGAAAGGAATGTGGTTTGCGAGCTCCGTAAGATATTCTAACACAAATTCAGTGAAAGAAAAAGGAGTTTAAGAAAATTAAGAAGAGAGAAGAATGTTTTGTTCCTTAGGAAAAGAGCTGGTTGCCGAGAAGGCTGTTTAAGGTATGTTTTAGCAGTTAAATTACTTTGTGAGCTAAGATATTTATAAATTTGAAGTTAATTGCGGGTTCCAGATTATTTGTCTGAGGCGATTGGCTTGAGATGAGAGTGTGGAAATTCTTTGTGAAGAGACTCCGTAAATTTAAGTAAAGTAATCTTATGATAATTTAAGAAGATTAATTTGATTAACATAAATTACTTTTAAAGTTTGATATTATCTTTTATAGGTTATTACTCTTAACGTAAAAGTTACCACAACCTTTAACTAACTATCAAAATTTAAGGCTTTAGTGTGACAATAGAGGTGAGTAATTGTCTTTCTAAAATTTAGTAATCTTTTTTATTTCAAATTATATGTTTGACTTTCTATATGACCCAATTTAATTAGATCCTTCATATTATTATATATGAAAGGTATACTTGATAAGCATAATAAGAAAAAAAAAACGTAATTGCATGAAAGATATACATGAGATGAATGCTATTTAAATAGACATTATATGTAAGATAGACATGTAAAAAAGATATGCATGATATAAGTAATAGATATATATGAGATAGATATAATCAAGAGATATGCATAAAATGAATGATTTTTAGATAGACTTTATATATAAGGTGGACTTAAACATATAAGATAGATATGTAAGAAAAATATGCATGATATAAGCAAAAAATATGCATGAGATAGATAAAGTAAGAGATGTGCATGAGATAGATATATGAATGATATAAAAGACATGCATGATAAATTATTACACAACGAAAAAAATATGCATGTTAGTGGATTGCATAGAAATATTTTAGAATAATGTTTGTTATAAAGAAGGAAATAGATTATGAGTTCATTTGGAGCGACGGTGCGACACCGCACCGCAGTTGTCTGTTATGGAAACTGAGTTTTGACTGTTTTTACAAAAAAATGCCATTGAAATATGCGTTATCCCACTACTTCTAGCTAAGTGTGGTAGTAGTTTTCTAGTTGCTGTTTGACTTAAAAAAAATTGCAATAACCATTTCAAATTTTTGAGCATCATATTATTATTCAGCAACTCACAACTGTTTTTTAATAAGTTGCAACTGTCCCAAATAAACCTTTTATAAGAATACTTGTACATGCATGTTCAGAGGAGGATTTCATCCCGTAATGGTACAGACAGAGGACGTTAGTGTATTCGCACACGTAAAGTTTTTTCTATCACCCTAGACAATTGTGATAATTAAATCACTAGTTACTGTGCCGATATAATAATATCGACCAGGGGTGAGTAGACCAGAGATTATTTCCCCAGACAATTGTGATGATTGCATTATTAACCGTTGTGCCGACGGGATAATATCGGCCAAGAGTAGGTAAGGGTCTTTCCACCCTAGATAATTGTGATGTATAGACCACTAACCGCTACGTCGACTGAAGCCGACTGGACAATATTTGCCAAGGGTATGTTAAGTTGTTGACAGTGATCCTCACAGAGATAAAAATGTATGTAAATAATATCCAATAAAAGTAAAGTTGAGATAAATGCATATAGATGGTTAGTGCATGTTTATTTAGAAAAATGTTATACATGCATTAGCATATATCAGATTATTTTTAAAAATATGAAAGACCAATATATTATAAAATTTTTTATAGACTCACATATATATTGAATTTTTCTTCTTGGATTACTGTAGTTTAGAAATGTGATTACTCATGTGCTATCTTTAGAAAACTCATTATGTTGTTTTAATTTCTTTTTAGGTTTTAAACATTTGAACAAGATGAATAGAAGACGAGCAAATATATATAGAATATTAGAAAAAAAAAGAAATGTTCAATGTTCTACTTATTAATTTTAATTGCTTTGTTTAGTTAATCTTTCATGTATTATTTGAATGTTAAATTTTTAGTAATAAAATCAGAATAATAAACAATTGAAGTGTAATTAGGAATACACATGTATTTATAATTTTCTACTTTCTATGTTTCATTTTTTCCCTAAATCATATTGAGCACATATCCGATACTATTTTATCGCATGTTCCGAGCATGTTCGGTAAATAAATAAATAAATATAAATTTATAACTATTAACTCATTAAAGATTGTAAAAAAATATGACTTTTGCACTAGGATGGTTTTGATTGATGGCTTCGACAAATAGAAGTTTCAATGGAAGTACCATAAAGTTCGGATTTGGCTTTAACGTGAGGTATTTTTATTGGCTTCAACGATCATGTTTGACTTTTGCTTAAGTTGCGATTAAGAAGCTTACGGCTTCTGCTTTAGTGGGGCGAGTTTAACTTCAAAAAATCAAAGGGAACTTCAACGCTCGGCTTCGACGATTGTAGGATGGGCCTTTGACTCCCCTTCTTTGACAAATAAAATTGGAAGCACTGATGCTCGATTTCGATAAATATTGGATGTCCTATGATTCAGCTCGGAGCTTTGGATTAATCAAGACAGGAACGGACGGTCAGACGGTGATAATAAATTCTCTGCTATCATACTTCTTTCTCGAAAAGGTTAATATCCAAAAATTCATAAAAGAACCACTAAAAAAAACAATTAAAATTAACAAGTAAAATTTGTTCCTTTTTGTTTAATGTTCTCGTCTTCTATATACAACTTTTTCTCTTCCATCTTCTTGTTCAAATCCTTATAACCTAAAAAAATATTAAAACTACTTAATGAGTTGCCTAAAATAAACCATAGGTAGTTACACTTATAAACTACAATAACTCAAGGAAAAAAATCCGATATGCATGTTTGTCTTTCCTATCTCTATAAAAAATCATACAATTTGCCAGTCTTTAATCTTTTTATAAGAAATTTTATATATGCTAATTTATGTATATATAACATTTTCTAAATGAAATTACCAAAATCTTTTTTATGTATTTACTTTATCCTTTCTTTTACTTTATACTCTTTATCACATGAAAATACCAGCATCACTATTTCACACATATTTTCATGCATATGTTTTTGACACCAAGGTGATATAAGTGTAAATATCGAAGTTCAGGCGCTAGATATGTAAATGCATAGGAATTGTGTGGTCTGTATGTGAATTTTCCAAATTAAAAATAGCCTTGACAACCAGTCATGATTTAGAAAAAAATAGCTTCAGCTACAATGCAGGTTTGCAACAATAAATAGAATTAGCAAATCATAAAATTAGTAATAGATCAACATATATTTCAGAGATTGTAAACTATTTTTTATGGGGATTATTATTATAGGTATATTTCGACTCATGAACTAATACAATATTACAACTATATATATATATATGCATGAAATAAATGTATTTTACTTATAAAAAGTTTATAATGGTGTTTATATTGTGATTATGAAAGATTGAGGGTTGGATTTGCAAATGCATAATTTTTGAATGGTATTTATGTTAATCTTACTACATTACATTGTTCAATAGCTATTTTTTTCGTTGTCTTTTTCTTGATATTCCCTTCATGATTATTGTACATTTAGGTGTCATTTTTGGCATATGGTATAGGTGAAAGATGTCTAAAGAGTAGCGAGCTAATGGCCACAGCAGCTGTTGGATTAGATAACTGTTAGGTGTCGTCAGTTAGAAAATGTTTCATACTGTACACTGAGTTTTAAGTTTATTATATATATATAT